GCGGAGGGCAAAGGGCAGCCAGGGCTGGGGCCAGGAGCCTGCTGGGTGTGGTTATTGCGGAGGTGGGCCCTGTCCTCTACCACCAGTGGGCGGCATCGGCCTCCTTGGTGGGTACTGACCATCAGACTTAAAAAAAAAATTATTTAATTTTACTATTATTATCTTAAAATTTTCTATAGGGCACGTGCACTCACCAGAAGGAGACAGAGAGAAAAGGAAAGTGAGAAAGCAAGCTGCCAGTTCAGGGACTCGAACTGCTGCTGGTCATGTTGGAGTCCAGGGCTTTAATCACCACACCGCCTGCTGGCTCAGATTTTTTTTTTTTAAATGACGCTTTGGTTTCACTGTAGCACAATCCTGCCTCAGCCTCCCGAGCAGCTGGGACCAGGGGTGAGCACTGCCACACCCAGCTCTTCCTGCCGGTCTCGCTGTGTTATCTGTGCTAGTTCAGAGTACTTCATCCTCCTGCCTCAGCCCCGAGTCCCTGGGATTACAGGTGCACTCCACCCTGCCTGGCCTGTAGCTTGGACAGGAAAGTGTACCAAATTCAATTGTACCCAGCCATTGCCTCTCTCCCAGGGAAGGACACGGGGCTTTTGAGGCTCTGTAGAATGGTCAGATCTGGATGGAGAGACCTGCTGCCCTGGACAAGTCCTGGGCTCCAGAGGGCAGAGTCCAGAGATAGGAGTCGGAGTACACGCCCTGTGCCCCAGCCTGGGGAGCAGAGTGTCTCAGCAACACGCACTGCCGCCACTGGGCCCTGGCCCTGCAGGTCTATAGGGCAAACATTCACACTCGGGGTATGAGTGGCAAGCTGGGCGTGGTAGGAATAAAATATCCTCATTTATTTGTTCCTGCTTATCTCTCTCTATATATCTCTCTATATCTAGATACATATAGGGAGATATATATCTACCTAGATAGATATAGATATTTGGAGAGGTTTTTGCTATAGGGCACATGCGTTCATCAGAGAGACAGAGAGACAGAAAGTGAGAAATCACCCCTCAGGGGGGATGGCCACACTGCAATCCCTTCTCCTCCATTCTCCTCTTGGGATTTTGGGCACGCACACACACGTGCCCAGCATGAGTTTAAGCCACCAGGTCTGGAACTTGAACCACGGTCGACTACATGGGAATCCAGTGACATAGCCATTACGCCAACTCCTGGTCCCTTGATACTTTTTTTTTTTTTGGGGTGTTTTTTTTTTTTTTTTTTTTTTTTGGGGGGGGCCCGACAGAGACAGAGAGACAGAAAGCGAGAAATCACCCCCCAGGGGGGATGGCCATGCCACAATCCCTTCTCCTCTGTTCTCCTCTCGGGATCTTGGGCACCCACACGCACGCACACGGTGTGAGTTTTAAGCCACCGAGGCTGGGACACGAACCGAACCGTGGTCAACTACATGGGAATCCAGTGACATAGCCATTACACTAACTGCTGGTCCCCATTTTTTTTTTTTAAGAGGTCTTCGCTATAGGGTGCGTGTGCTTGGCAGAACGACAGAGACAGAGAGACAGAAAGACAGAGACAGAGAGACAGAAAGCGAGAAATCACCCCCTGGGGGGGGTGGCCATGCCACAATCCCTTCTCCTCCATTCTTCTCTCGGGATCTTGGGCACACATGCACACGCGCCTGGCGTGAGTTTAAACCACCGGGTCCGGGACTTGAACCACAGCCGCCTACATGGGAGTCCAGTGACATAGTCATTATGCTAACTGCTGGTCCCAATACATGTTTTTTAACTTTGCCAGGGCGGGGGGGCATGTGCACTCACGGGAAGATGGAGAGAGGGAAAGTGAGAAAGCAGCCCTGGGGCATGGTCACACTATGACCCCTGGTTCATCTCTCACTCCTCGTGGGATTCTGCGCAAACACGCACTCAACACGCCTGGTGTCATTTTCAAGCCGCCGGATCTGGAACTCAAACCATGCAGTTGGCCATGTGGGATCCAAATGCTTTAACCAGCAGGGTCACAGGCTGGCCCTAAAATCAATGCTCTATTTGTGCAAACATTTCTTTTTTCTTCTTTTTCTAAATATTTTATTTAACTTCATTTATTTACTTATTTATTTTAATTTGACCAGAAAGGGACAGAGTGAGAGACAGAGAGAGAGGGCAAGTGAGCAAGCGAGCCACCAGGTCTGGGACTTGAACTATGGTCGGCCACGTAGGAGTCCAGCCCCCTTAAACCACCACGCCACCTGCTGGCCCTGAACATTTCTTTTCTTTTTTTTGGGAGAGGCTTTTTGCTATAGGGCACGTGTGCTTGCCAGAAAGAGAGAGAGAGAGACAGAGAGACAGAAAGCAAGAAGTCACCCCCCAGGGGGGATGGCCATGGGAGTCTAGCGACATAGCCGTTATGCCATCTGTTGGTCCCTGCTGAACATTTCTCTTAATGCCTAAAAATATTACATACTGACCAGGTAATTCCAGTAATTTCTTTTTTTCCTTCTTCTTATTCATTTATTTATTTAAGAGAGATTTTTGCTATAGGGCACGTTTGCTCACTGGAGAGACAGAGAGACTCACCTCCCTGGGGGATGGCCACACCACAGTTCCTTCTCCACTGTCCTCTCAGGATCTTGGAAACGCACGCGCACGCGCCCAGAGTGAGTTTCAAGCCTCTTAGTTCGGGACTCAAACCATAGTCGGCCATGGGGGAGTCCAGCGATGGGAGCATTGTGTCATCTGCTGCTCCCAATTCTAGTGATTTCTAACAACTGAGCTACAAAATGTGCCTTAAGAGTTTTGCACAGGAGGGGCCAAGTGATTACTGCGACCACGCAGCTAGCTGAAATGCAGGCTGGGGCTTGTGTGGGCCCCGGGGAGAGGGCCCTTTCCCAGACAGGGACTTGCCACGTGGCACTCCTCCTGCCCAGGCTCCCAGCGAGCCAGGACCATAGGCACACACCATTGCTCCCGGCCTGTGCAGGTGAGCGGGAACTGACCCTGAGCTGCCCACGCAGCCTTGGCAGCCGTGCGCCAGAGCCCTCCCTTGTGCCTCCGTGACTGGGGCTGGCTCACCACAGGCCACTCTGTGCCTCCGTGGCCTGCGGTACCAACAGCAATGGGAAAGCTCCCTCTCACCAGGGTGGTGCAGTCCTCCCGCCCGTCTCCCAGGGGAGGCTCCGAGGGCCTCAGAGTCCAGCTGGGAAGGATGGTGTGAGTAGCCATGCCCAGGCCAGAGGCCAGCCTCTCAGAGACCCTGGGTCCCCGCAGCTGTCCCAGCCCACACGAGGTGGGGACAGCTTGGCTGGATGGCAAGCAGGCCACGGGCAGAAGTGGACAGGAAGCACGGCAGGACAGATGCCACTCAGTGTGGGGTGTGACAGGCAGTGAGGCCCTGTGTGGTGGCCATGCTCTGCTGCGTGGCCTGGAGGACACGTGACTCGGTGGGGGGGCAGCCCCGTCTCACCTAGGTTGCTGTCGATCTTCTGGTGATAGGCTCGAAGGTGCGGGTTCTTCGGGTAAGTGTCAGTGCTCACGGCAGGACCGGTCCCTCCAGGGACAGAGTCTGAGGTTAGACAAAGACACAGGGAGACGGTGAGTGGGCGTGCCTCAGGACGTTGCTTCAAAAAGTTCATCTTCATTTTTTAAAGTTTATTTTATTTTTCTCGAGACAGAGGGACACAGGGACAGACAGACGCACATATACACAGATTCTCCCAACAGGGGCCCTACACTGCCACGTACCCCAGCCTCAGCTGGTGTGGACCATGTACACGTGTACCCAGGGAGCACATGGAGACCCCCAGGACACGGAGAACCTGGAAACGCTTCTCATGGGTCTGGCACCTTACACTCCGGTCGCCTGCAAGATGAGTTCGGCCTGGAAAGCGGGTGGAAGGGATGAGGTGGCTGGCTCTGAGGCCACCTGAAGGGATGGGGATGGGAAAGGGTAAAATGCATGAGGGAGAACATGGGGCGGGCGCCCCCCAGCACGGATGCTGCCAGGCCGCAGGTCAGGGCTCCAGCCTCTTCCCTGGGCCTTGGGAGATCAGAGACCCTCAGCCTGAGGGTCACCTGGTGAGACCCTGGTACACGAGCTCTGGAAAGAGACTCATGCGAGTAACGGCATGGAGGTGGGACGGCAGCAACGCGAAGCCAAGCTCAGGGCTGGCAGCGAAGCTCTGGGCAGAGCGAGTCAGATCCCACACGGCTGACTGCGGTCTGAATCCCAGTCCTGGCAGCTTGAAAAACAAGCCGGGCACAGGTGCGCGTGTGCTCAAAGTCCTGACGGGACGGAGACAGGGAGGATGTGACGAGGCCACCTTGGTGGGGTGCTTGCCCTCTCTGGCGAGGACATACACACCCTGGCATTAAAACAATAACGATGACCTGCCAAGATTCTGGACACCTGGCAGACACGGTTTACAAGTAAAAATCGTTGGGCCAGCCCTGAAACCTAGTAGTTAGGGGAGACAGATGCCAAATGGCCACCCGGTCATTTAACAAGGCCCGGTTCGAATCCCAGACCTACTGGCATGAGAAACATGCTGGATGCACATATGTGTGTGCTCCAAATCCCAAGACAATGAACAAATGGAGAAAGGATTGTGGTGTGAACACGCCTGGCTGGGGGGTGCTTTCCCCCTGTCTTTCTCTGGCAAGGACACGTGCCTTCTGGAATTTCAGCAATAAATAAAAATGGCTATGAAAATAGCATTGTGGGTGATTTCTCTTTTTTCTGAAATTCATCTCTATGCTATCTTTTTTTTTTTTGGAGAGGTTTTTGCTATAGGGCACATGCACTCGCCAGAAAGACAGAGAGATCAGAGACAGAAAGCGAGAAATCACCCCCAGGGAGGATGGCCATGCTACAATCCCTTCTCCTCCATTCTCCTCTCGGGATCTTGGGCACGCACGCACATGCGCCCGGCATGAGTTTAAGCCACCAGGTCCAGGACTTGAACCGTGGTCCACTACATGGGAGTCTAGGACATAGTCATTACGCTAACTGCTGGTCCTTGTGCTATTTTTCCACATAAAACAAACATGCAAAAAGCAAATGACAAACACTGCACGCTTGCCCCGAGTAATCTTCCTTGAACTTAGGGTTCTAAACACACCCAGAGAAACCCCGTCATCCCAGTTCGCTTTTGGGGACAGAGCCCTCTAGGGCTCGGCCGAATTCATCTGGCGCTAAACCCCAGGGCCCTCCTACCATGTGGTGCCATCGCCTTTCTTGTCTGTTAATAGGCACCGCCCAAATAAAAACTCCCTTTCCTTCCGTAAAATCCTGTTTTTCGGGTGCAGGGTGTATACCAAGGCCTGAGGAGGCGGGTTTCCCTGGGCCCTTTACATCGGTCTCCTCTCGCTCGCTTCGTAGTTTTCGCCTTGCTGGGCTGACCTGGGCCTCCGTCAGGTCTCTCCTTAGCTGTGTCAACCACAGCTGTGGCGGGGCCCCGTGCTCCCAGGGTGCGTCCTGCCTTCACTGACAGCAGTGTGGTACACATCTGGTTTCTAGCACCATACTGATGCGCCTTTGTGTGTGTGTGTGTCTGTGTGTGTGTGTGTGAGAGAGAGAGATTTTTGCTAGAGGCACGTGTGCTCGCTGGAAAGACAGAAAGTGAGAAATCACCCCCCAGGGTGGATGGCCACGCCACAATCTCTCCTTCATTCTCCTGTCAGGATTTTGGGCACGCACGCACATGTGCCCGGCGTGAGTTTGAAGCTACTAGGTCAGGACTCTATTAAGTCCTACGTGGGAGTCAGAGATGTAACCATTACGCCATCTGGTGGTCCCAATGTGCCCGGTTTTCTAAGGGCCTCCAAAAGAACCAGGGGACCCAACATTTTTCCAGATAAGGAATTGTCCATTAAAAAATTTAATGTAATGGCTATGTCACTGAACTCCCACGTAGTCGACTGCGGTTTGCGTCCCGGACTCGGTGGCTTAAACTCACGCTGGGCGCGTGTGCGTGCGTGCCCAGGATCCCGAGAGGAGAATGGAGGAGAAGGGATTGCGGCGTGACCATCCCCCCTGGGGGGTGATTTCTAGCTTTCTCTGTCTGTCTGTCTGGCGAGCGCACACGCCCTATAGCGAAAAGCTCTCCAAAAAAAAAAAATTTTTTTTTTTGCTATAGGGTGTGTATACTTGCTGGAAAGAGAGAGAAGAGTGAGAAATCAACCCCCAGGGGAATGACCATGCTGTGGTTCCTTCTCTTCCATTTTCCTCTTGGGATTTTGGGCACTCACATGCATGTGCCCAGCATGTTTTTCAAATTGCTGGGGCTAGGACTTAAACCATGAAGTTAGCTATGTGGGATCCAGCCACCTTAACCACCACGCCACCTGCCAGCCCACCTCTAGGTTTTTTATTTGATATCCGTGAGATGATTCGACTTAGGACATGCTTTATCATGCACACTTTGTTCACGCTGAGGGTGAGCATACCCCCTTGGCTGGGGGGGAGGTATTAGTGTCCTACCACTGCTACGAAAAACTAGCACACTTACTTTCTCTTTTGGAGCTAGGAAGGCCAACACAGGCCTCCCTGGGCTAACAACAGGGGTCCACAGGCCTGTGCTCTTTCTGGAGGTGCTCAGGGAGAATCCCGTTCCCTGCCTTTTCCAGCTTCTAGAGCTCAGCTTGGCAGGTGGCCTCTCTGTCCGTCTTCAAAGCCAGCTGATCAGACTTATCAAACCTTGCTTTTGTGCCCCCTTTCCCATTTACAAGGGACCCCCCGTGAGGACCCTGGGCCCAGCTGGACAGCTTTCCCTTCTCAGGGTTCACTCGTGAGCAACGACACTTCGTCCGCTGTCATTCCCCCTTTTGCCAAAGGACCGGCATGTTCACAGGGTCTGCAGATGAAGGTGAGGACAGCTCTGGGGGACCATCCTTCTACCTACCACAGGGGTCTTTCCTGCAGTTGGCTTTTCACTGCAGGCTGAGCTCGGGGCTGGCAGGAACCAGCCATGGGCAGCCTTGTTCTCCATGGGACGCAGGCCCCTGCTTCCTTACTCCACCCTCCGTGGTGCAGGGACGGGGCAACAGCCTCCGTAACACAGGCCTCCAGCTCCCCACGAGCACGGTGGCACCTACTGCCCTTCACCCGGCATGGGGGAGACCTGCAGCTGGAGCCCCTGCCCGTCACCCGAGCGAGGGCCCCAGCCCTCAGGGCCAATGCCACAGAGACGAATCGGCCACCCGGAGGCGGGCGGGCGGGTCTGCACTCACCGAAGTCATCCAGCTTTCTGAGGTTCGGGTGGCTGGCCTGGTACTTTGCCTCCTGTTCTTTACTTGTGCTTATGGCTTCTTGCAATCTTTGGATAAAAGTAGAAAAAAAGAAAATGTTTATGAGGGAACACCTCAAGGGCTGTGCTGTCGGTCCTCTTAGGTGAGGCTTCCTCTGCTGAGCTCCCCTGACCAGAGCGGGGATTTCAACGGCCCCTCCCGAGAGCGTGGCCTGCAGCGCAGCCCTCGGGGCGCAGTATCTAGGCAGGTGGCCCTCCCACAAGGGAACAAGGACTCTCGGGACCAGGCGTTTAAAAGTGCACAAAGACACTGCCAGCAGTGGCATGGTGATTAAGGTGCTGGATTCCCACATGGTCAACTGTGATTGGAGTCCCTGACCTGGAGGTTTGCTTTCTCACTTTATTTTTCTCTCAGTCTCTCTGGTCAGCGCGTATACCCTGTAGCAAATAATGATAATAATAATAATAATAATAATAATAATAATGACAAATACTACTTTTTTTTTGAGAGAGAGAGATTTTTGCTATAGGGTGTGTGTAGTCGCCAGAGAGGAAGAGAGAAACAGACAGAAAGGGGGAAATCACTCTCCCAAGAGGATGGCTACGCTGCTATCCCATCTCCTCCAGTCTCCTCCTGGGATCTTGGGCATGCATCCTGGTGTGAGTTTCAAGCAGTCAGGTCCGGGACTCAGTCCAGCCACATAATCATGATGCCATTTGCTGGTCCCAATAAATAATCTTTTTTTTAGAGGTGTTTTTCCTATAGGGCACGTATGCTCGCCAGAAAGAGAGGGATAGAAAGCGAGAAATCACCCCCCAGGGGGGATGGTCACGCTGCAATCCCTTCTCCTCCATTCTCCTCTCGGGATCTTGGGCATGCACACACACACGCCCGGCGTGAGTTTAAGTCACCGGGTCCAGGACTCGAACCGCAGTCAACTACATGGGAGTCCAGTGACATAGCTATTATGCTAACTGTCCCCCCAATAAATAATTCTAAAACAAACAAACAAACAAAAACAAACAAACAAAAAAAAGCACACAGACAGCAAGTGGGGACTTTAGTCCAGGAGTCAGTAAAGGACGACCCGTGGGCCAAATGTGCCCCACTACTTGTTTTGTTTTCTTCCCCGATCCAATTTTTGTTGTTAGAGGGTGTACGTGCACGCCAGTGGGATACAAAGAGGGAGAGGAGAAAGCACCCTCTACAGGGACTGGTCCTGCCACAATCCCTTCTCCTCCATCGCTCCCTTTTTTTTGGGTTTTGGGCACACACACGTTTGGTGTGTTTTTCTTTTTGAGAGAATTATTCTTATTTAACTTTATTTATTTATATTCGGCCAAAGAAGAACAGAGTGAGAGAAAGAAAGTGAGAAAGCAAGTCGCCAGGTCCAGGACTCGAACTGCAGTCAGCCATGTGGGAGTCCAGTGCCCTTAATCACCATGCCACCTGCCAGCCCCAATGTTTGGTGTGTTTTTCAAGTCGCTGGGTCCGTGCCCCGAACCACAGAGCGGGCCATGTGGGGTCTGGCAGCCTTCACCACCGTGCCCCCAGTTGGCCTACGCATCTCCCAGAAGCAATCACGCACTCTAGCGATCACTGCATGTGGGGGGATTGGGGTGCACTCAGACACTGGGCGCCTCGAACCCTGCTTCACTGAAAAAACGACAGCTGCCTCATTAATAGGAAGGCTCCAAACAAAGAAAGTGGCCCTCGCAGCCACCAGACCTTAAAGGCTTTCAGAGCAGTGGTCAGGGGAGCAGCAGATGGTGTAGTGGTTCCGTTGCTGGACTCCCACATGAGCTGACCGTGGTTCGAGTCACAGACCTGGAGGCTTGCGACTCACTAGAACGCTAGGCTGTAAAACAGAGAGATGATTTCATAACCTGTATGATCACATCACACCAAGCATTTTTCTGGGTTAAATGGAAGAAACAGGCCACAAAGCCGAAAGAACACAGGCTGAGCATCCCTCGTGCAAATCTGACAGGCCGAGGAGCTTCCTCCCGCTCCCGCTCTCCCTCTGTCTCTCTTTCTGGCAAGCCTATGTGCCCTCTGGCAGTTAAAAAAAAAATAGGGTCGTCAGGAAAGTCATGATATACTTTTATGTTTCTGTATGCAAAAATGCCAGGGCCAGCAGGTGGCGTGGTGGTTGAGGGCGCCGAATTCCCACATGGCCCACTGTGGTGTGAATCCCGGACCTGGCGGCTTGCTTTCTCGCCTTTCCTTTTACTCTCTCTCTCTCTGGTCAAATTAAAAAATAAAAATAACAAATGAAATAAAATCAATCAATCCATCTTTAAAAAAAAATGCATCAACACTTTTTGAAATACCCAACATGTGTGTGTGTATGGAGAGAGAGAGAAAATCTGAAATGCAAAATGCTCCAAAATCCAAACTTCTCGAGTGCTGACATGCTGCGGCAAGTGGAAAATTCCACTCCTGACCTCGTGGGACAGGGCTGCAGCCAGACGGCTACAGTACTGGCCAGCCTCATAGCGTAGCGGTTAAGGGCAGTAGCCTGGGAGCCAGACCCCACAGGGGCGACCATGGTTTGAGTCCTGGCCCCGGCAGCTTGATGGTCACACACGTGCATGTGGTCCAAATTCCGACGGCATGAGAAGAAACGCAGGAGGAGTGACTGCGGCAAGACCAGAGCCTACCAGAGCACATTATGCCCTCTGGAAATCAAAACAAAACAAACAAAAAATGCCGCAGGATAAAAATACTGTAAAAGAGGGCCAGCGGTGGCATGGTGGTTAAGGTGTTGGAATTCCCACACGGCTGGCCATGGTTTGAGTCCCGGACCAGGTGGCTTGCTTTCTCACTCTCCCTCTCTCTCTCTTTCTCTGGCAAAACTCATGTGAAAAATAATATTAACAATAAAAATAAATAAATAATTCTTTAAAAAAAATACTGCAGAAGATTACCTTCAGACTACGTATATATCTTACATGAAACACAAATTAATCCCACGTTTAGACTTGGGTTCTAAGATCTCTCCTTATTAAATACAAATATTCCAAAATCCCAAAATATTCAAGATCCGAAACACTCCTGGCCCTACGCATTTGGATGAAGGATACACAGCCTGCGCTATGACTGCATCTGTGAGGATACTGAATACGGGCAAAAGCTGCATTTTTAGTTTCTGTGTTGCAGTAGGTAAAGTGTAAATTCTCTGTATTATGGCTGTGTTATTATTATTTGTTTCATCTGCCAGAAGGTGCATGGCCTCGCTGGAGAGAGATGCATGGAGAGAGAGGGAAAGTGAGAACGCAGCCCCTGGGAGACGGCCACCCACAATCCCTTCTGCCCCGCTTCCCTCTTCAGGATCTTGGGCACGTACGCACGTGCACTCGGCCTGTTCCTCAAGCTTCCAGGTTCGTGACTTGGAACCACGTGGTTGGCCATATGGAATCTAGCTGCCTCACTGGTGGTGGCCTCGGTGGTGACACTACTGGCTGGCCTGGTCATATTGTTATTGTTATTATCATTAGGCTTTTGCTATAGGGTGCACGTACTTGCCGGAGAGAGATGGGGTGGAGGGGAGATAAATCACCTCTGGGGGGGTGCCCACACTGCAGTCCTGTCTCCATTCTCCGCTCAGGATTTTGGGCACACACACAGAATGTGTCTGGCATGGTTTTCAAGTCACCATGTCTGAGACTCGATCTGCAGGATCAGGCACTGTGGGAGTCCAGTGCCTTAGCCACCACGTACCTACTGCCTGTGCCTGGCCATAGTATTTTCATAACAAAAAGACAGACGCAATGATCTGAGATAAGAACGGTAATAATATAAAGAAAGTCGATTATTTTATCTTTGACACTTCAGACTACTAACATCTCATGTGGTTTTATTTTCCTCTTCTTTTCAAATTTGATCTATCTCCTCTATGGAGAGAGAGACAATGAGAGAGGGAGAGAGGGCGTTCACATGATGCTATCCGCCCCAGTCTCAGGCAGCCTAGACCACGGGCATGCACATCGGTGTACACAGGGAGGCCTCAGCGCACAAACCCGGGCCCTTCCTATGTGGGCCCATCATTGTGGAATGTGGTCACTGCTCCGGCCCCTCACCTGCGATTTTTTAAAAAAAGAATTATTTACCTTTATTTATTTATT